GTTATTACAAGTGTTGCTGTGACCCCCTAGGAAAAGGTTATGCCCCGCCCTGTACATAAAAGATATATCATGCATACATAGTACATAGTACATAGTACTATGGATATAAGCACACTTATTGGTTTTTTAAAAATCTGACATGATAAAGGAGAATTTTTCTAAACAAAAAAATCTGGACTGTGTATTTACATTGAAGTAAAAAAAAAAAAGAACAGTGAAGTTAAGTATTTTATGTGTTATATATCTTAGGCTTCAGTAGACTTGTCTTAGGCTCACTATCCATTAGATATAGCAAGTTATCCATTTTCTTTGCTACGAAAAAATTATACCTAACCCCAAGATAAAGTGAAAGCAGCTCATACCTGTCTGAGGCCTAACTGTTGTCAAAGGTGCCAAATAATCCATCATATCTTCATGTTTGAAATCCACAGATATCTCATAGGGTGTTTTATGCAGAATATTCAGATGATCAGGATTGGCTCCTTTGTTCATAAGCTGTTGGGCTAAACTGGCTCTTCCACTAACAGCTGCCAACATGAGGGGAGTCCAGCCCATCGTCTTCACTGAGTAGTTACAATCAGCTCCCCAGTCCAGTAGAAGATGGACTGCTGCCTCATGCCCGTGTTGGACAGCTGTCATGAGGGGAGTGACAGCTGGCATTTCCTCTTTACTGCCGTCCAAGCTAATGCTCAAGTGATCATAATTGTCAACGTAAGCGCCAGATTCCAGCAGCAGCTTCATCACACTGATATGGCCGCCCCGTGATGCGATGGTCAGTACACTGGCTCCCAATTTATTCTGCGCGTTAAGGTCAGCTCCATTTTCCAGCAAGATGCGAGCCACATTTAGATGTCCAAACCTTTGATTGCAGAAAAGAAAGAGAAAATAATTACAATATCAAAGAAAATAGATGTGTATTATTTAGATTTAAAAGGATTCTGCTTTAACTTAACAGATATTTGCATTTGGGGACCTCCCCAGTTTCGTTCTCAGCCTAACTAGAATACTGAGGCTTCAGCCTCAATACATCTCATCTGAATATCTTAAGAGAAACACTTCTGTATTACTTAAAAGCTCATACAATGTATTGCAAAAATATGGGATTCGTGGTTCACCGACAAATGCGCGCTCGACAAAAGTGTGCCGACGAAACCGCGGCGAGAAAACCGCGAGGTCGAAATCGCACCGATGAATGCGGGCAGAAGCGCGCCGACAACAGCGCACCGACAAAAGCGCGCCTTCAACAAACAACTAATAACAACCTAATAACCCTAACCCTAACCCTAAACCTAATCCTAAACCTAACTCTAACCCTGAACCTAACCCTAACCCTAACCCTAACCCTAACCCTAACCC